ACTTCAGCATGTAGGATGATACTATAGTTGGTAGAAGCACATGTAGTTGGCCATGGGGTTTCCAACTCAAAGTATCAGGAACTGGCAACAAATTGCCAAAATAATAAACTTAATTAACAAATAGCAAAATATACACTCACACAATTCAGGTTAAATTAAGTTACCGAGAAATGATCCTGTGACAATAACTTTTGTTGGGTGTCATATTAAAATTTTACATGTTAAACATTTTAATTTAAAAAATTAAATATAAATAATAAAAAATCATGATAGTTATTGTACTCTTGGCATTCATTCATTGATTTTTCTTTATTTACAGAATACATACAGACTGCTGAGAAATAAAGAACACAGATGAGAAACATGTCTTACCTGATTGGGACTGTTGACTGAAAGCTCTAATAAAGAATGCAGTGTCACCGTACTCTTACTTCCAGTCAAGTCAGATCTGTGAGCGAGGAACTATTCATTGCAATATTACAATGGAAGAAGTGTTCTGTGTTGAAGATGAGGTGAAGAAGGCATCGTCTATGTCTAAACACCTCTGGCGGAAAGAGGATTTACAACCTGATTTGCATGCAGCAGAGAAATCAGCCCAATGCTACAACCGTGATATGGCACAAGGTACTGTCGTGACTAGTAGGCTGCAGAGACACTGTCAGAGACTGCATACAAGCGTGCAACCTTGCGAGTGTGAACAGTGTGATAAATCCTTTCTGGGTCTTGCTAAACACACACCGCATGCGTGTGCCAAGGCAAATGAGATAGTATACCAGTGCACACACTGTTCACAGTCGTTCACTATAGAATGTCGTTTAAAAAATCACGTATGTGTTCATGTTGCCAGTGACCATTGCAAGTTTACACCTACAGTACAGAGTACAAGCCAACATGAAATTTTCTCAGATGATTTGCAAAACAACTTTCCCATGGAAACGTTGGTAAGCACCGAAGATGATCATGGAATGAAAACTTTGCAGTATGAAATACCTGGGAAAAGTGTTTTGCGTGAATTCCATTGTGAGGCACCTATGGAGGAAAGCCATAGCAATGTTACTGGTAATATGGAAGAGGGACAATCATCTCTTGAAAAATCATTACAATGCAAAAACAAATTTTTACGTGAATCTCAATATGACATTCATGCAAATACAGTTCCACCTGCTGTTTTTTATGAAAAACACCCAGAACAAAAACATTCTAGAACAAGAGAAAAAGTCTTACAGTGCGGACAATGTGGTAAAAGATTTGCAAGTCAAAATCAACTGAAAGTACATATGCGTATTCACACTGGTGAAAAACCATTCCAGTGTGAAGTTTGCAAGAAGTGTTTTGCCTACTCTAACGTTCTGAAAATACACATGGGTACACACTCACGAATAAGGCCGCACCAGTGTGGCATGTGTGGAAAAAGCTATGTTGTACCAAGTCAACTGAAAACTCATATGAAGTCTCATATGAGGGAAAAACAATACCAATGTAGGCAGTGTAAAAAGCTTTTTCCTTTATTAAGTCAATTAAATTTACACAAGAAAACACATACTAAAGAGAGTGTATTTCATTGCAAACAATGCCAGAAAAGCTTTTCTCAGCGGCGACGACTTGAAGCACACATGAAAGTTCACAATGACGAGAAACCATATCAGTGTGACCACTGCGAGAAGAGGTATGCGCAGCAAACTCAGTTGAAAGTGCACATGAGAACTCATACCGGTGAAAAACCATTCCAGTGTGAAATATGCAGGAAGAGCTTTGCCTATTCACACGTATGGAAGATACATATGGGCACACATACACAGGAGAGACCACATCAGTGTGTACTGTGTGGAAAAAGTTATGTACTTCCAAGTCAGCTTCGTGCTCATATCAAGACTCACACTGGGGAAAAACCACACCAATGTAGACAATGTGGAAAACGTTTTTTATTACCAAGTCAGTTGAATACACACATGAAAATGCATGAGAAATCTTTATTTCAATGTGCGCAGTGTCATGAAAGCTTTACTTCTCAAAACCGTCTTGAAGGACATGCTAAGATGCATTTGGAAAATCCTATTGAAATTCTCAGTACATGTATGGTCACTGAAGAGGCCCCTCTAAATGAAACATTACATGGTGAACAGCTTGGTGATATATGGCCCCATAATCAGACACATACGGTGCAAAACAATAATACCAACAAACCATTGAATCATGAACAACCTAGGGACAGATTTCATCGTGAACCGTTCCTTGGGATGTTTTTTAAGAAAGCACGTATGAGGACAGAAGAAAAAATGGTTCAGTGTGGTCAATGTGAAAAACGATTCGCACATCGAAATCAACTGAAAGTGCATATGAGAATCCACACCGGTGAGAAACCATTTCAGTGTGAATTGTGCAAGAAGCGGTTTGCCTATTCAAATGTTTTAAAAATACACATGGGTACGCATGCACCTGAAAGACCACATTGCTGTGTACTGTGTGGGAAAAGTTATGTACTACCAAGTCAACTGAAAGTACACATGAAGGCACATGAGAAGGAAAAACAACATCAATGTGAACAGTGTCAGAAGTGTTTTTCATTACTAAGTCATTTAAATGCACACAAGAAGACGCATATTAAAGAGAATGTTTTTCAATGTGGTCAATGCCAGGAAAGCTTTCCTCGGCGCAGACAACTTCAGTCACATGCTAAATTGCATGCAGGGGAGAAACCGTTTAAATGTGACCACTGCGAAAAGAGATATGCTGATAAACCTCAGCTGAAAGTACATTTGAGAACTCATACCGGCGAAAAACCATTCCAGTGTGAAATATGCAGGAAGAGCTTTGCCTATTCACACGTATGGAAGATACATATGGGCACACATACACAGGAGAGACCACATCAGTGTGTACTGTGTGGAAAAAGTTATGTAATTCCAAGTCAACTCAGTGCTCATATCAAGACTCACACTGGGGAAAAACCACACCAATGTGAGCATTGTGGAAAACGGTTTGTGTTACCAAGTCAACTCAGCGCTCACTTGAAGACGCATACAAGTGAAAAAACATTCCGATGTGACCAATGTGGCAAGTGTTTTGGGATACAAGGTCGGCTGAACGCACACATGAAAACTCACGGCAACATTATTCAATCGCATGGGGCACAGTGTCCTGAAAATTGTTCTCAGAACACTGGTCTTGAATCGCATATGAAAACACTTTCAACTAGTACTGCAGGAAGGCCTCAGAACAAACAATTACTGTGTGGACAGTGTAAGGAAAGATTTCCAGATGAACTTCTTATGAGAGTGCACATGGACACCCACCACAGTAATGTCACTCAAGAGAATAGTCTGGAAAAACAATGGCAGTGTGAAAAGTGTGGTGATCAATTTCCCAATGAAATTCATTATTTAGCTCACAGAGAATCTCTAAACTGTACTAATAATGCAAACATAGTTGCAAAAGAGTGTACATTTCAATGTGCACACTGCCAGAAGATTTTCTCCCAAAAGAGCCAACTTGAAGCACATGCAAAAGTACACAAAGAAAATAAACCATTTCAATGTGATCACTGCGAGAAGAGATATGGCCAACAAACTCAGTTGAAAGTGCATTTGAGAACCCATACTGGTGAAAAACCATTTCAATGTGAGCTATGCAAGAAGAGTTTTGCTTATTCACATGTATTGAAAATACACATGGGTACACATACTGAAGAGAAACAGCATAAGTGTGTACTGTGTGCAAAAAGTTATGTACTACCAAGTCAACTCACCGCTCACATGAAGACGCATACAGGTGAAAAACCTCACCAATGTACTCAATGTGGGAAAAGTTTTGTGTTACCAAGTCAACTAAATACACACATGAAAATGCATAGTAACAAGGTCAAATATCAATGTCCAGAGTGTCCAGAGAGTTTTTCCGATGAAAGCCTACTTAAAATACATGGTAAAATGCATGTGAAATATAATTTTGATGTGCGTTTGACAACAGATCCTTCTTATGCTGGAGATAGTTCTCAAGAAAAGGCATTACAATGGGAGGAAAGATTTTCAAATAATGTTCATCCGAGCGGTCATGTGGAAACACACCAGCGCAGTAAAGATACACAAGAGAATCTACAAGGAATAAAATTAGGATGTGAACAGTGTGGTGAACAGTTGTCACATGAAACGTATTATCATGCTCATATAGAAACTGGTTACTGTACTGGTACTGCAACGAGGTCTGTGGAAAACAGTCCTTTTCATAATACACAATACCAGAATAGTGTTTCACAACTTGAACAAGAAATACCTGCTCAATTGCAAACAAAGAGAAAACCATTTAAATGTGACCATTGTGAGAAGAAATATTGCGACCAAGCTCAGCTGAAAGTGCATTTGAGAACTCATACCGGTGAAAAACCATTTCAGTGTGAAATATGCAGGAAGAGCTTTGCCTATTCAAGTGTTCTGAGGATACACATGGGTACACACATAGAAAAAAGACCACATCAGTGTGTACTGTGCGAAAAAAGTTATATGCTACCAAGTCAACTCAGTGCTCATATCAAGACTCACACAGGTGAAAAACCGCACCAATGTTTGCAATGCGGAAAGAATTTCATCTCAGTAAGTCAGCTGAAGATGCACATGAAAAAGCATTCTACAGAACATAGCTCTCAGTGTGCCCTATGTGGAGAAAGTTTTTCCCACAAGAGCAAACTTGACGCGCATATTAATAAATTTCATGCCGATGAAAAACCGTTTAAGTGTTCATACTGTCTGAAGGGGTTTGAGTACAAATCTGAATTAACAAGACATATGAGAACACATACGGGTGAAAAACCATACCAGTGTGGGGTATGCCAGAAAAGTTTTTCTTATTCCAATGTGCTGAAAATACACATGGGTACACACACCCAGGAGAGGCCACATCAATGCGAACATTGTGGAAAAAGCTTTGTACAACCAAGTCAACTAAAAACACACATGAAAACACATACTAGAGAAAAAATACATTTTATAAATCAGAAAATATTTGACCAACAATGTAAAATTAGTGAGCACGTTAACACACACACTGGTGAGAAACCATTTAAATGTGAGCTCTGCGAAAAGCGATACTCCCAGCAAAATCAACTAAATGTGCACATGAGAAGCCATACGGGTGAAAAACGATATCAATGTGAAATATGCAATAAGAGTTTTGCTTATTCACACGTATTGAAAATACACATGGGTACACATACTGAAGAGAAACAGCATAAGTGTGTACTGTGTGCAGAAAGTTATTCACTACCAAGTCAGCTCAGTGCTCACATCAGGACTCACACTGGTGAAAAAGGACATCAATGTAGACAATGTGGGAAGTGTTTTCTGGTTCTAAGTAAGCTGAATGCACACATGAAAACGCATACAAGTGGAAATCCGAAGAATGTGTACCAGTGTCGTAACTGTGGTAAAAACTTCAGAATAAAAGGAGATCTCTTGTCACATTCCTGTGTAGATATTAGTAGTATGATTTACCAGTGTGAATATTGTGCACAGTCTTTTACACAGCTACCTCATCTAAGAGAACATCTATGTGTAAAGTATAATGCTGACAAACCACATACGTTCCTCGATGAAACGTGTATTCGTACTTGGACTGTAGGTGTGGAGGGAAACAGAAGTAGCAAGAAATACGCAAGCAAACCAGGGATACATTTGCAACCAGGTGCTGAAGACAGCCTTATGGATGTTGTGGAAATACAGAAAGGAGTGCTTGATGGCAGTGGTGTTGAATTATTTAGGTTATCATGCGCGTACTAAATCTACAAGTTTCTGTTGTGTAGTTTCATGCCAAATAACAGAAATTTTAATCTTATATGAACAAAGTTGGCTACCGTACTTTGATGAGTCGAGTGATCCATCGCAGAGAATTGTCCGTGTTATCTTATTCCTTCAGGAGAAGTAGCAAAACCCGAGAGAATATCTGAGACAAGAAAACAAACACTGCGGGGAACAGGAGGTTGTCGAACAAACGTAGGAACGAACACGGCCTTCGCATCAAACCGAGATGCACCGTCCCCTTGACGTAAAGGGTGTCATTGATACTAGTAACTAAACCGTACTACTGTAAAATATTTTATTTTCACTTGGAATTCATTTTCGCTGAAGGGTTGATTCAGTGGAAATAAAGTGCAGTGAATATACTTTTTTCCTATGTTCAACTCATCAAAAGTCAGTGAAAATAAACTCCATACAAAACACCCAAATTATATTTTATACTACTAGTATATGGAGCAAAACATTTAAACACCCTTTAGTGAAACTGTTAAAGAAAAATACCCCCTATTCTGAATGTAATTGAATTCTTTGAAAAATTGATGTACTTATTCCAGGTTTTTGGGTGATAATCATGATATTGATGTATTTTTTATATGGAATACAAATTTTATTTTATATCTATGATCTGCACAATTAATGACACCGGTTTTCGCAACTGGCTTCAATAGGATTGTGTATGTATGTCAAATGCATAGTTTTTTTACGCAAAGTTTGACTGTGTGTGGTCGTGATGACCACTTTTATTTATCTAGAGTTGTTGAGAGATAGTTATCTTTTTCTATTTGAGAAATTTTGCCATAAGTCATGACCTACTTGTGATTTTTGATTTTATACAGTTTTTTTTATAATTTGACTCAGTACCATGTACTCCACATTTATTGCACTTTACTGTTTCTCACAGCTAAAATTGAAAATCATTTTGTATCTGTCTTATATTTATAAAAAAAGTTTAATGTGGTTATTTTTTTTTTTGCTATCAATAACTTTTCTTGCTACAGTCTTTCATGTATTAGTTTTCTTGACAGTTTTAACAAATGTAAATACTTAATACATGTTTGAATCATTTGAAAGTTGTATACTGAAAATAATGATGTTCAATTTAACAACTTTTAAATATGTAACAATTTAGTCTAAAGTTCAGTTATTTGGAATTTTATCTGATGAAAAATATGCAACTTGACAACTGAGTGCTTCTCAAAAAACAAAATTAATCATGTACCCAGAACTGCCACCTACCGTACATGTAGTACCCTCAGGACAGATCAACAGACGTATTTATGTTTATTTTTGATGTAACATGCTTACATACTGTACTATACCATCTGACTTGTCTGTTACTGTCACCACTATAATGTTCCGAACACCAAAACAGCAACATTGCCAGCGAAGTTGTTGACTGGTTTGCTAAGTGCGCCTGGAGATTGTTACGCGATTAGAACAAGTTGGGTTAATTCAACCTCAACAGGAGATGTCAAACTAATAATGGGGTACATTGAATATAAATAGAAGGTCACAACCCAATTGCTTTTCAATTTATTTCATTCAAGCATGTATATGTCTGGTGCATGTCATAACACTCATATTTGAGTGCATTTATCCGAACGACCAACGCTCATGAAAGTGGTTTAAACTAACCAGTTCTAATCATGTAACGTTCTTGAGAAGGTCATAACAAACCAGTCAGCGACTTAGCTGGCAATGTTGGTGTTTGAAACAAAATGGCGATGACAGTAAAAATGTCACTAGAAGCTATCATCCTAATAACATTCTGTAGTATGTTAGACGGCGATGGTTACCATGACTACACATGACAATAGGATGCGAGTCCCGTATAAACAAAGATGGTGACTTTGATTTTTGTGTAGATAACTGAGTACAAACATGACTCAATTTCACTGTATTATGATAGGAATGAGGAATAAATAAGGATGGGTTGTGGGTCTTGCACATGCATGGTGTGGCATACACTCCCTTTTAAAAAAATGTATCTGGTTTCTAGATGAAAATTTCAAGTAATAATAGGTGATTTCCATTTCACTGCCAGTTCTGGCATATTGTGTGAAAGACTCAGACCGAACGTCTGTTACAAAAATCAAGCAATTTGATTTGGAATTTCTTTTTTTCTAACACGATGTTGAAATTCCAATCTTTGAGAGGAGTGCTGGTATATTACAATGAGATATCCTTACTTCATCAGAACTCACCATCATCAAATGTGTACAGCACATTATTGAGCGTAAAAATACCCCGAAAAATACTTTCACGTTTCAATGTTGAATCCCATGCGATGTTTGATGTCACTAACCTTTGTTTATCCTGTTCTAAATTCGATTTCATGCATAATGCAGAATCTCATAGTGAATTTTCAAAAAATGTTTTGTCTTGTGTGGTTGTGGCAATTTTTAAGTGGAGAGGTTTGTAAACAATGACACAGTATTGAAGTATGAACAAATTCAGTCTACTGTCGATTGTCGAAACTCTATGGAAATGAACAATTTCTGTAAAACATATTTTCAGCATTTTTCAGATAAAGTTTTTTATATCAACATTACCACAGTTTGGAAACAACTTAAGCATTTTAATAGCTAATTCCTTTTTGTACTTTGTTAATAAAATTAGTGAATTTAAAAAGTATGTCTATGTGCATTTCATCATTATTATTATGATATGAAGGTACGTGTACCATACGTATCTCAAACAAGTTTGTAATATGAAAATTTTCAGTGAATATTCAAATTGTAAACATGGCTATCCTATGTCTATGCTAGATTCAATTCAATACTCTTGTGGTATTCCGTTGCTTCCAATATTGCACTGCACTAGGGCAATATCTAGATATTGCCCACCTGCCAGACTTCTGGAGACTGTAAATATGGTATTTAGAAGTCACAGTACTTAGAAGGCCAAATCATCACCAGCTTGTGGGTCTTGTCATATTCAAAGTGTGGTCATTAATATTCATACGCAGTGTATAACCTAATATGTAAATGAAAAGTGAAAAACATGATAGTGTGTTTCCATTTATTTCTACACATTGGTCAGACATGATGTAATTCTAGCAACGGGCAAGGGTAGGACAAAAATATAAAAAGTCAAAAAACACCGCGAGTCATGCGGCATATTTGAAACAGTTTTTTAAAGATAGTGGGGTGAGTGTGGGTTGGTACAAACAAAGGCAGCTAGATTAACTATTTAAGACAACTGAGAAACGTGGATTTCCAATTGAAAAAGATGATTTTCATTGCGAGTTGGAAACATTGATGTTCGGTGCACTGTGACTGAGCAGGTCATGCAATATGCGCAATCGCACAAACGATGAACGTGCAGTTGCTATCAATTCAAGATTCGGAAATTCCAGATGTTACTAAATGAATTGTAAGCCGGATAACATTTAAATATTAAACTTTATCCAACGTTGTGCCTTCATGTCAACCAGTATATGAACTATTGTACCATACTCAACTTTACATAGACACTATTGTTTTGAAATTATCACACATGCCAGTGACAGTTTTAATCTCTCAGATTATCCATTTGTATGATGGATATTGTGGATATGTTCCTCTTGTTGAACTGGTTTTTGCAGGTTGATAAGCCAAAATTTTGTTACCCACAATTCATTTCTGCTGTTATATGAACTTTAATATTGACCTTTCACATTTGACCTAGCCTGGTAGTTTCTGCCTTCCAAAACACTCCACTATAGTAACAACCAATATTCTGATAATATGCAACGTGAAATCTGAATGAATCATATTTATTCAACACAATTGTATCAAGATCCAATCTGAGAATGTATCATCAGTGGGTCTAGTAAATCGCTAATAATTTGACGACAATGATGGATGGACAAACTACAACATATACTACAACATAAAGCGTATACGCTTTAGCAAACTTTTGCTTTGTAGCGGAACAAGTTGTTTGGATTGACACCATATTGAGCTCCCATTCTTGATAAATTTATCTCCAAGACGTTCCAGTCATTCTAATCATATAACTTGGCCAGATTATCTTGGTTTGGTGTATCCTTGAAGTGTGGTGGCCATGATGCCTGTATGGATGGTCGGTCCTTGAGTTTATTGTAGTACTTGGCTAAATTGGGTAAATTCTTTGACAGATCCAAACCCTGACGTGGCAGAAATGCCACCCAAGGAAACAGAGAACAGTCGGCTAAACTGAATCCTGGTCCAGCAATGTAATCTCCTCCAGACTTAAAAATATGTGTTGAAAGACGAGAGAGAAGTCAATATTAGTAAACAATACATTGATATTTCTTCAGCTCAACATTTTTGAATCGTGTATTCACAATGAATTATTTATGTCACAAAATTATGTTATAATACTATAAAATACTTTATTTTAGCTGGAATTAATTTCCACTGAAAAAACATTTTGGGTGTTTTGTATGTAATTTATTTTCACTGATTATCGATGGTGTTTAATGTAAAATATAGGAAACAAGGTATATTCACTGGATTTTATTTTCACTGAATCACCCCCTCGGCGAAAATAAAATTCAAGCAGAAATTACAGTAATTACTGTAATTACTAATTTGTGCCAAATTTTTTCTTCACAAATGATGTATAATCCTTCAATCAGATTTCTAACAGTGAAAATTAATCAGTTTACAGTAGAAATGCTGTATGTACAAAAATGTATGTGTATTGTACATTACATTAGTACTGTAAAATACTTTTGCTTGGAATTAATTTTCGCTGAAGGAATGATTCAGTGAAAATATAATCCAGTGAATTTGCATTTTTTCCTATATTTTACATTCAACTTGTCAAAAATCAGTGAAAATAAATCCCATAGAAAACACTCAAAAAGCCTTTCAGTGAAATTTAATTGCAGCTAAAATAAAGTATTCTACAGTAACTCAATATGTATTTCTCACCTCTTTTAGATAATCATCCCATCGTTTCAGCTCAGTACGTAAATTCTCTTTTTGGGATTCCAATACCGGCTAATAAAGAAAGCAGTGTAAAAATATGTTATCTTATATAGAACATGTATTATGCTAGGAAGGTTCTGCTTTAAAGGGTGGTGGTCGTCGCACTGCACATGTGTGATATTTGTGTTGATAATCATTGATTTTCCTACAAATCAATGCGCTCTTCTAATGAAAATCACAAGAACGAGGTTTGACCTGGGCGATATACCTTTGATACCTTCCAATCACCTTATATCTAATTAATTTAAAATATCTAATTAAATCTTGGTAACATCTCAGTCAAAGTTGCCATCTTTGTTTATAATGAGACCCATATATCTCACATGCGTTGCGCGATGATTACCACCCTTTAAAAAGCAGTCTGAGGATTCCATCACTGGGTTTAGTATTAGTTTTTGAACTGAAATTTAGGGGGTATTACCCAGTGATTACCATTTGTTGAATCTGCCTCAGTGTTACAATATGTTGATGCTCTTTTGTTTGTGACCTTTTCCTGATAGGAAAAAAACAAAATAATAAAAAAAAATGGTTTGATTTCAGTTGGTTGACGCAGCTTGCATTTTACAATTTTGTGTTGTTTTATTCTGAAACAAGCGGATGAATTTAGCCAGCTCAACGATTCTTTTGTTATTCTTACTTTTTAGCAGATCTGCTACATGTTCATCATCTGTCATAGAGTTGACTATCGAAATTAATATTTTTAATCATGTTTTCTCATTTTTTCTTATATAGGTTGCATTTGTGGAGGAGATGTGTGACTAGTACGTCTATTTGTAACGACTTAAGTTTATAAACCCTGAAATTAGTTCTTATACTAAATAATAAAACCTAGACATACTGACGTCTCACCTCCCAAACCATCTTTTAACTTGAATTATGATTTTAATTTTTGGGCATATTATCCAGTAGCTTGAGTCGTCTCAAGCATGTGCAATTGGAAGTTAGACAGGACACTCTAGTCTAACCAATATTAAAATTGCAATTATAAGATTTTTAAATTTTTGGCAGAATATCCATTTTTTTGTGGTTAGGTTGTATTATTGGGAATAAAAATTAATTTCAAATATCTTTAAACTTTTGATTTGGTAACATTATGTGTTTTGAACAAGAAGTCAAAAATATCACTTTTTACCGAAAATGACAAAAATATTCATCAAAATTAGAGAATTGGAGATATCATCAAGAAATGAAAAAGATAAAATTACCAAAGGTACACATACCTGGTATGTATAATATTTAAGCAATCAGACTTACGGTTTTTAACTAGAAGTTGAAAATACTAGTATCACTTTATAAAAGTGACAAAAATATTCATCATAATCAGAGAATTGAAGATATGACAAAAGATAAAAATCTGGAAGAGATTGACCTGAGGTATCAATATGTATCGTATCAAAGCAATCAAAATAAGTCAAAAATATCACTTTTTACCAAAAATGATAAAAATATTCATCAAAAAGGGATTATTAAAGATATCATCATGAAATGAACAAATCTATGAGAGGTCCATTCAAGATACATATACACCAAGTATCAAAGCGATTTGACTGGTAGTTTTCAAGAAGAAGACAAGAAAGAAAAAGTTGACACAGACGCTGACGAACAATCAGTAATATGAAATCAACAGCAGAGCTAAAAAAAATTACCGGTAACAACAAATTAAAATTGAAAAAATATAAAATTAATTAATTAATATTGACCTTGTTATCCCAAACATCCAACATTACACCATAAAAAGCTGCTTGAAGGTTGTTCACTTCCAACATCTTTTGCAGAATGAGTGCCTTAGTAGCCAGGTCACCTTTGCATGGCAGAAGGTTAGTGCCTTGATCTCTAAATTCACCCTGAAAAATACTAAGGAAATTAGCTGCATTCATTTGTGATGGAATAGATTATATAAAAACCATCAGAAAATCCATAAATAATTTAAATCACAGATGGTGGTTTTCGTGCAGCCACCCAATTTAGTCTAACCAGTCAGAAATTGACTAAGAATTTGTTTATAGTCAGGGGAGTGATGGAGAATTACTAAAGCTTTTGCTCGTATGATACAGCCCAATTAGCTAATTCATTGAACACATTGTAATGTAATTTCAATAATTATTCAATTATCAAAGTACTCACTTGTATGTATAAAATGCATGCCATTGACTCATTAATTACAGTGTCACCATGTTTCAATGTCGGTACCTGAAATTGTAACAAGCAAATAATTAAATAAAGTTGTATTTATATAATTTTATTTTTCCATAAATTTTCCATTTTTGTTCACTACAGGTGCATGCACTGAGAATTTCTATCAGTTTTTTCTACTAATTTCGAAATTACAAGGACCATTTAAAGGGCGGCAGTCGTCGTGCCGCGTCCTGTTCGATATGGGACTCATAGCGACGTATACAACGCGTGTAAAATACATTGTTTATTTACATGAAATTCGAACACGCGCTGCGCGACGACCACCGCGCTTTAAGGTTATTTACAAACATTCAACTTATTGAATAGGAGTGAAAATAAAATCATGTTTTTTGTTTTTATTTCAAAAGTATTACCGGTACATAGCTGTCGATTTAGTCATAAACATTTGGGTTTTTTTTGCTCACTACACAAAAAAAAAGTTTGAAGAAAACCAGTCTAAAACATGCAAAAATGGGCCCTGTGGATATGAATTTTTGTTGAAGCATTATTTCATGAAAAAAATAAATTTGTATTTGTCAGAATCTTCAATAATTTGGGACAACTATCTAAGGAACAATCTTTTAACTTATTTTTTGCTATATGTAGCTAAGCATTCCACTAAAATAGCTTGCAATCGAATTATTAAATAAGAATTAGGTTTAACAGTATTGCCCATATGCTGAGTGAACAGGTTGATATGATGTACATTAGGGCCCCCTAAAAATAGTTTTTTTGGTAACTCATCACTTCACTGCACAGCGCCCTTTGTTGATGAACTGATTCAACCTGCAAAATGCGTAATTTTCCAAATATTTTAGCCCCCCCCCCCCAAAAAAATCACCATTTTTGGATATCAATTTGAACAGAAAGATTTGTATTTGGCAAGGCCTCCTTGTCACGTGGGTTAGGGCTGCCTGGCACGAAGTCAGTTGGGCAATCATGAGTCAGCAACTAACATAGATCTCATATGATAAAATTGAATGAGTGGCACACAACAGTCTTTTTCTCCAAAAAATCACCATTTTTTGATAACAATTTGAACAGAAAAATTTGGCAAGGTCTCCATGTCACGTAGGTTAGGGATGCCTGGCACCGCAGTCAGTTGGACAATCATGAGTCAGCAACTAACATAGATCTCATATGATAAAATTGAATAGAGGGTCGGCAAGGGGTATTTTCGTAAGCTGCAATCAACTGTTTTTATTTTCGTAATAATGTCATTTAAATAAATAAAAAAAACGAACGTAAATTCGTAGACATGGGCAAGACCAATATTGGCCCAGCCCCCAAAGTCACAAAGCCGTTCCTGGTGAAATATTACCCCAAATTCAAGTTTTTACTCCAGGAATGGTAGGAGGTGATACATTTGGCGTGAAGGTATTCAAAAATCATTTATTTTGGATGTTGCCATGGTAACGTGTTTTTTTTTCCCAGATTTCACCACCTAACTAGACTGAATGTCTGAACTAAAATGCCAAGTTTGAATAAAATCGGCCCAGCCAAAAAAAAATCACAGAAGAGTGAATACGTGAAGCAAGTGATTTTAAGGCAATCATAGCGGAGCGGATCTTCAATATTAAATCGCAGCTGCCTATCCTAAATCGTTACATTACGAGATAAGTTCATTTACCTCGCCGCCAACACCATCATCACCCCATACGACATACACAAGTACAACACGTGTATAATATATGATTAATTCGAAAATCGGGGCAACAACCTTTTTCTTCTTGCACTATGAGGACAATGTCCGCGAACTGGGTTAGGGTAATGCTCGCGTCAATGAACAAATCACAAATTATCTATAAACATCCAAGATCAAATACGGATCACCAATACTGTAACGACTAGTTTTTTTTTTTAATTTCTTGTAGAACAGATGTGCAAACTTTGAAATAAGTCCCTATTGTAAATTTATTTTTTAATAATAATTAATTATTTTTGCTATCACTTCTTCAAACGTCATACAAAACCTTGTGCTTAATCTCTCACTCTCACGTATTCCCAACCGTTATGAATTATGATTTGCGATTCGTGAATCACCCTAACCCTAGTGTACTAGTTCCCAGTAATATATTTCGAGACGAGGCTCTTCATAGTCTACTAGTAGTTGGACACTAAAAGGAGGGTCCTCCGGAACGTCTGAAAAACACGAGTATCGAGTTCATGGTTTCCCCGGGTAATGTACTCGTTCTCAGTTCGTACGTCCGTATTCCATTTTCTCATTCGTGTAGCTTAGTGGTGTAGGCCACAGTGGCTCGTATATGCGGGCCCAAGCAGTGAGCATGCATTGCGCGCTATCCGGGCCCGCGATATAATAACGAGCCCCTTTGATGTCGGCACGGGCCGGGGCACGGGCATGACCATGGATATAATGCCTGCTAATATGAATCTCGTTCAATGTCATATCAAAACATTTACAAGATTAGGCGAAGCTTTTTGAATAAAAACATGACTAGACTTCCGTGTAGAACTACGATACCTACCTCCCCACGAGGGTTGAGTTTCAAGATCTTTTCCAATTTCGTTTCTCCCTTATCAAAAGAAATTAGTTTGTTTCCATACCCAGACAGACCCTTCTCTTCGAGAGCAATCATCACCCTCCAGCAAGGACCGCTCCCCGAGCCCCAGTATAGGAACAACTTAGATGCCATGTTACGATCGGTGTTCACCTGCATGTACAGCAACGCTGAGTGAGGTGTTCAAGGGAGAGGTTATTTTCTTCAGGATGGGTGGGACGATTGCGGGTCACATGGCTTTTGGATTTTGGCAATGGGTGCTTCCTGATATGCCGAATTCCCTATTTGGAAAGTTTTCGTATGGAACGTTTGTATATGTACAATTATATAATGCAATGTAAAACATATTTACATTGTACCTTAATTTAAACAACAGTCGGATTTGTTAAATCTAGAAACAAATATTATTTCTAAGTTGTGTTGTTACTTCAGACGCAACAAACGTATTCCCTTTATTTTGTATAAATATTTATAAAGTAACAACAACAAACAAGTCCCAAAAAATGATCATTAGGGGTGAACCATTATAACTCTGGAAGAGGCGATGACACAACAACTTCGCAAAATAAGCAAATAACACCGAATAAACGGCAAGGTAAATACTACGTCTAAACACGTACTGCGTGCGTGACTCGAACCGGCGCTCGCGTACGGCACCTAATCGCCTAGCTTCATGCCACTACACGTCTTCCCCTCGGCCACCGGGCATCCCCAAAAAAGGATGCTTAATAACCGAGCTTCGCAAAATGTTTCTTTCACATACTTTTGTTACCATGATGAATTTGCTGTAATTGTTTCACTAAAAATAATATTTTCCCCAAAGATGCAGATTTTGTTTGTTATTAACTCCTTCAGGATTTTTTTAAAGAAATTTTAATTCTCCTGTGAAAATTGTTTTTTTTTTTAAAGCTGTCATCGCCCCCCATACATTGTAATGGTCAGCTCCTTAGTATACTTGTATAACTAAATTAGTTTCTTAAACTTAAAACACGACAGAACACTGTGCGAGGGAGCAGACCGCGTTTTTTTTATGCAGAATTACAATGCTTCTAGTTTACCGAATGTCACATGATATATCTCCTGTGTATATATCGTAGATTTAAATTACAGACGTTCACATAGATAACACTTCACTAGAAGCCTACGTCAAAGGGCGGTAGTTGTCGCACCGCGTCATGTTCGATATAGGACTCAGCGACGCATACAACGCGTGTAAAATAGATTGTTTATTTACATGAAATTCGGACACGCGCTGCGCGACGATCACTGCGCTTTAATCGTGCACATATGCTCGTGATATATGATCGATGAATACAAAACAGACAATACTAGTAAATTCGAGTCCACGTAATCTCAGACATTTCCTCCATCCCTGCAGTTTATTTTCTAAACGAACACCCCCGCACGTAATATCGCCCGTCCTCTGGCCAACAACTTTTTAACGTACGAATTCTTTCAGGCGTTCGTACATTATATATCGCCAAACGTGCTTTGGAAAAGAAAATGAATTACACATGATGATATCCTGAGATTGTGTTTGTAACCAGCCTGACATTCGTCAAAATCGAAATCAGGTATCCAAGGCTCCTAAATCAAAAATATTGAAAATACTTCTCGAAAACAGAAAAAAAAAATACCGAAATATTCATCAAACAAAAAAGCATATTCATAAAAAACGAACTTCACTGAATTAAAATAGTTTAATAGGTATACTGTATCTTATTTTTTAGACTCGTCTATTATCTATAAATATCGGAAATTAAATAAACTATCTATAAACATCGGGATTATTTGTAGGCCTGAACATAAGTTTGATATGTTTTTTTTGTGTGGATAATTGTAATTACGTCATTTTGTTGTGAAAAACATTTTTATTGAGTGTTTTTCCTTTGCGGGCACCCCGTTTTCAAATTGATTGATGGTGTGGGTTACCATTTTTTTTTATTTTACCAGGGAGTGGGATATAGTTTTGTGACACGAATTCTGAAATCCGCCGACACCCCCCCCCCCTCATGAGGAAACTGAACACTCCCAAATATCAATTGCTTGCAGTCTTGTGAAACCGTGCAATGTGTTATCAGCTTAGATTTGACAATGGGTTCGGTGTGTGACCTGAACTGACATACAGTGGTGATATATTTGATGCAAAAGGTTAAATAAATAATTTGGACCAGCTGGTAGTTAATGTTTAATTTGGTATATATATACCTTTTTTATTCTCATTCTTTTTTGTATATTTATTTGTGCTTAGTTTCATTTTAGCGAAGTATTTTGTGAATGTAGAACACTGGTACATTATTTAAAAAGAATTATAATAAATACTAACTGAGTTTTTTAGGCTGCTACATTACTGAACGTATCTACGACGGAACGGGTAACAATTCATGGCATGTGGCGGCCGTTTATTTATTCTTTTGTATAATACGTTACTGAAATTGAGGTTAGGGCAATGTTGTAAACGATGCACGGGTTTTCAAAAGCACTAATATATAAATATTAGTATTTTCAGTCACTTCTTATAAGTCACCAAGATCTTGTCATTGAGATCACTCTGCCATGGATGTCATGAGATCAGAACAACTGATTACCTACTTTGTTTCAAACTATTGTCGATTACCTGCTTTAACTACACTTTATTACTACAGAAATAATGTAAACACGTCTAGACTGTAGACAAAAGTCTGCAGGTAATCGACATTATTTTGAAACAAAGAAGTTAATCAGCATCCAGAGCAATCAATGATAAAATCTTGCTGGTGTCCACAGTAAAAAAAGCAAAATAGGCACTGTCTATCAAATTCAAAATGTCACTAGACTTAGACAAACATTTGTTTAAATTTTCAATAATATTCATTTAAAATATTGATTTCTGAATTTGTGAATAGCATAATGTTGTTGTCATTGAACATACCATTTATGTCATGCCAGACACGTTTTATTTGCAAATACAATGTATGTAAAAGAAGCATATTATACGATTTCTGGAGGGGTCTAAATAGTTTGTTTTCTGCGAAAGTCATGTGTACAGACTGTTGTGGGATATTCCACAAAGTATATGGACACTTGTTGAATGATATCAGCATATATGCAAATCTTATGCAAATGCATAACATATTCCCATTTTGGGGGTAATTTACACACATTTTTTTTCCTGTAATTCTTATGTAATGAAATCAAAAATTGTACACAATAAAATAGAATGTATGAAGATTAGGAAAAGTACCAAAAATCAACATTAACGATATATCAGAATTTAGTATCTTCTGTTTCATTTTAATTCAGCTTTATGCGAATACCCCTAGTAATCAACCAGCAAAAGACCTCAATGTATTCCAATTTAAACAATACTTTATTGATAAAAAAATCCACCAAACTAGACAATATTCTGCCAGCAGTTTTGTCATACTGATAATATCATATTTGAACTTTTTTTCATTACATATTTTTATTGAGAAAGGCGTGGTGAGTTTGCTTTCATGTCATCATAATTATTTTATTGTTTCAGCGTCATAAACAATGCGTACATGTTACAAACCAGTACTCCAATTAAACTGTTCAATACATACTTGTTCATATCATTTTTTTTAAAAGGGGTGTTATATATTGTCTTTTTAAAGATGAACTAGATTTTCACACAATTAGCGTACACGCTCATCGACTACAATTATGGTCGATATAAATAATTGACATGATAGTTCATGAAAATCAATTCTCTGTATTATAAAATAATGAGACATTTCGGGCAATTAAATCATACGTTCCTGGAACAATAAATAGACCAACCGCGATCAATTTGTTTCTTTACGTGGTTGTGAATTGTGACAGGCCACAATACCAAATATAGCTTCACTTTTGCTGGTCACGTTACAGATTTGTTCAGTTATCGTGATCATAAATGATCAAGTTTGAGTCGAGGTAGTTTGTAACTCCTGCAATTACGTATACTTTGTTTCATACACGATGCATCGCTCTATAATGCAGAAATTAGTATATTGTGAAAACTGTACTGTGCATGTTTTAGCCAAGATTATTTTTCCATTACACATCTAAACACAATTTGGTCTCCAGTCATCAAAATTGATGTTGACTACCTCAGTAATTGTTTTACTCTAATTGATGATAATGATATTATTGCACATTGCTAAGATAAGCAGAATATATTCACGACACGCACACTAAAATGCAAATCAAAATGATTACATACCCTACATATGCTACGACTTTTTGCTCTAGATATACCGTATATCTATTAAGTTTCACAAGTACATCTGTCAAACCATGGTTTCCCAATGTCGTAAGTGGAATTGTTACCATGGAAACATGACAAACTGTTATCATTGTCATTTTGAAAACGTGTTCCAGAATTATAAAACACTTTTCATTACCAAGTGGTTTTACGCAAGAATGTTTTTATATGAAGGGTGACATTTTTACGAAGGAAAAGTGATTACCGGTAATACATTAAATTATGAATAATCAAAATAGGTAATTACCATAAATTAGGATATACATTATAAATTCTGTAAAGTAAATCTGTCGTTTCACATATTTTTAATGGTTGCCATGGCTACATGCCTTAAAAATGCCTCAACCACCGTTTTCCACAACAATCTTTTCCTGACTTCTTGTATAAATGATTGTGTTCTGTCTTATAATGGGAGGGGTATCTGACCACTGTTTGGCATTGGGCCACTGGTCGAGAGGGAACGGTGCTGCAAGGCATCCCTATTTGTAAGGTGATGGTACTGCAAGGTTAACTGTGCCACAAGGCGGATATTTTATCCAAACTAAGGAAACAGTAACCATGTTGTTTCAATGGCAACACCAGCATATTGATATTCCGTTTTATTGACTAGATTATATTATTGAACTTTCTTTTGAATAATTGTTTTTGTTCTACAACCCTAACTGTAAATTACAATGTTATTGTAAAAAGTCAATTTATTTGTTCCCATTCAAAGTGACTAATTATGTTTAGTACATTACTTCAACAAATGTAATTGCTCAATTTTTGTTTGGGGGAACAGCGCTTTGATGTCTGTATCTAGAGTTAATTTTGTGACTCAAAGTCTCTAATTTAAATGCACATTATTTTACTTGAAATCAGTTGACCAATTGTTTGTAATTGTATTTCATGATCTTTTTAATTCAATTTCTATACTGTAAATCAGACTGCCTTCAGAGTACCACAAAATTATCATAAATCACTTGGATGGCAAATAACCTTTACATGAAATGCCTACAGGAGACATTTCATAGTACATTATTGAAAGTTCTGCTAAAACTATGATATACGTACGCCGACAATTTTCAGAAATCATTTCTATTGTGGGGTAATGTACCCGCTAGAAGTAGGGATGTGAAATTTACTTAGATGAATATACCATAAAAAAATGGTATATGTCAATCAAATGGAATAGAAACAATGTTCTTTTAATTGCACAATAATTTGCTAGATGGGTGGTTACTTATAATCCCACTGCAAACTCGTCTTGCTGACATAAAGAAATAAACACCAATGACAAATGACAGTCAGAAACAAAAGTTAACTCATAGCATCTTAGTTCATCTGTCTTGTACTTTGTTTAATATCATAATTTGTTGTGTGAAATACAAATACAAAGAACTATGAAACATGAATAAATTAGTACTAATTCAACATTAATGTTTCCTGATCTAAAATAAGTGATTCTTTGAATAGATCATTGATGGATAACACATAGTGGTATATATTGGCATTAATTTAACAAGAACACGACAATATGACCAGCTACAACTAAGAAACAAACTAATCATATAACTTGGCCAGATTATCTTGGTCTGGAGTTTCCTTGAAGTGTGGTGGCCATGACGCCTGTATGGATGGTCGGTCCTTGTGTTGTTCATAATACTTGGATAAATTGGGTAAATTCTTTGATAGATCCAAACCCTGACGCCGCAGAACTGCTACAAATGGAAAGAAGGCGCAGTCGGCTAAACTGAATGAAGGTCCAGCAATGTAATCTCCAGTCTGAAAAATATAACATGTTGAAAGACGAGAGAAGTCAATATTAGTAAAGAGTAAATTAATATTTCTTCAGCTCAACATTTTAGAATCGTGTATTCACAATTAGTTATTTATGTTGGGGCTCAGTATTGGCATGGCATAACACAACAAAGTTCAACATTTTAGGACATATTAATGGAAATTACTACAACCACTGCATCCTAGATCTGTCACCCAGGCATGTGTTTGATTCACTGAGTAATTGAGCACCGGTAGCATGAATTTGAAGTTGAAATGTGCCGTCTCTCTATTCTTATTCACCTTTGAGTGTGCCATCATCTGTGTGTGCATACATAACCAATATGTCTCAAGATGGCCGACTGATAGCCATTATCACACAAAAAACACCATCATCAAGCTTTTCCAACTTTTTGAAACAGGATTTCAGGAATTGTTAAAAAATGATATACCAAAACCTATTTAATTTACTGCAGTTATGTGCACTCACATAAATCTTGAATGAACGGAACAGTGTTCTTTTTTTTTATAAAATACATGTATCACAGTGACTAATAAGTGAATTGTTCAAAGAATTGCAGTATATATATTTGCTGTATGTCTTTATTTTTTTACATGACCATGGCAATAAGACATAGATCTCTTACCTCTTTTAGATAATCATCCCATCGTTTCAGCTCAGTACGTAAAGCTTCTTTCAGGGGACCCAACTGTGCCTGTGAATACAATGTACAAGGATGTCCAGTTGTCATGAATCAAGCACATACACAGGGTAATAAGTGACACATGTACTAATGATCAATAAATCAATGTCAAGTTCACATTACATGATTGAAATATATATATGAAATAATTGAATACTGTAGAATGCTTTATTTTCGCTTGGAATTTATTTTCACTATTTTCGCTGAAGGGATGTTTCAATGAAACTAAAATCCAGGGAATATACTTTTTTTCCTACGTCTCACATTCAACTCGTATCAAAAATCAGTGAAAACATGTTCCAAACAAAACACCCAAATAGCCTTTCCAGCGAAAACTAACTCCAGCTAAAATAAATTATTCTACAGTAGTTTGCCAGACATGCGATGGTAGGAGGTGCTTCTGTGGGAAACGAAACATGCTGAAAGTAGTTAATTAATATGTAAATTAGGTTATGAACATATGCAGATTAATTATGAAGCAGTTAGTCATTTAACCCATTACAGTTTAGTATGCAAATAAGCTAATTAACAAATTGAGATTAATTCCGTAGTAGTGTTAGACATCCAACTACACAAACAATATGTATGCGAAGGTATACATAGTTAATAGTTAGTATACATAGTTAATAGTTAGTATACATAGTTAATAGTTAGTATACATAGTTAATAGTTAGTATACATAGTTAATAGTTAGTTAGTATACATAGTTAATAGTTAGTATACATAGTTAATAGTTAGTATACTTAGTTACTAGTTAATTATTATGCAAATTTGGTTATTTAATATGCACATATTGAAAATCTAATCAGGTGTTTAGTTCATCACAAAGTATATTTGACACATCCATTAATGCACACATCCATCCATTAGCTAAAAAAAGATTTTGAGGCTGAAAAATATGCACATCAAATTACACACTATTCCCAAATGGATGCATTTTGTGGGTGGACTCGAGATCCATAATGACACTGGTACTTAATTTGTAGTGTGATAGTTTCAGTAAAATGGAGGACACATTAAAAAAAAACTGTTTTCGGATGGAAATATACAAGAGTCACCTCCATTAGAAATGCATTATAAACCTAAAATCAACATTTTTGTATACTGAATCATTAAAATTATTTTGACCAGAAAAGCATCTATTTAATTTATGTAAGCACATGCGTTATCAATAGAGCGTATACGGTTTGCTAATTTCTATGGAAACAAGTTTAGAGGTATTATTTTTTGACTGAATGTATATTAGTAGTATATAGAAACATTACCATCATGGATCAAATACTTCTGGAAAGACCACACATATTTATTTAACTGTCACAGCAACTGCACTGCAACATGTACTCAAAAAACCTAATTTGCATATTAGCTCACTGCACAAACTTTGACCTTACCTCATCAATATTGTCTTTGTTCTTCCTCATGTACATCATCACACCACGTACAGCTGATTGAATGTTGTTCACTTCCATCAACCTCTGCAGAACGCGTGCCTTAAAAGCCGGATTACCTGAGCACGGTAAAAGACTGTTGCCTTTGTCCTTAAATGTACACTGCAAAGAACAAGGGCAACGGACACGCGTGAATTTCATTTGTATTTCTTTCCATAGCTCAACACCACTGGTGCAATATTCATATTTAGAGAATATGAAATCTATATTGTCAATCATTGCTGCACACTAATTATAATTTCAACTATATGATTTACATTTATGGTACCACTCATAATTTTTGAGAAAATTAGTCATAAATCGCATGAAAATTTTCATTGCTTAAATTATGTAAAATCATGAAATCATGGCACCATGAAATAGCATTATTTTATGTGTCACAGTGACGTATTTTGAGAAACTTGCCCTAATATTTTTCAAAAATTGCTATTTTTAGAACAACAACTCAGAGCACAATGGTTATGATTTTTTTTTTTACACTTTTTAAAACCCAGATTTTTGAAATAATTGAGAACAACAAAAAAGTACCCCACCATTAATAATATATAATTTGTTCAGCCTATGTCACCAGCCTACAATTTAGGATATGAAATATTATTTCTGCCATAGAAACCTATGGTAAAAGCACTATAATACTGCCAAAATGGCCACAACCCACTAAAATACAACCATCATTTTCTAGAAAATTAAGCTGGTGATCCCCAACGTCAATATTACATTACTTGAAAGAACAATTTATTGGAAAATGAATAAGTTATGGGTGTTTGAAATCATGAGTAGGTTTCTACCTCAAATCAGGATTTTGATTAATTTAATTTTTTTAATAACATTAGAATACTCACTTGTAGGTACAACATGCATGCAATTGACTCATTAATAACAATGTCACCATGTTTCAACGTTGGCACCTGAAATAAGAAGTGAATTAGTTTTATCATTGAACAACTAATATTTTACTTTCTGATTTGATTTTATAGCAGATTGTATGGAACATCTGGTGACGACTAGGCCTTGCAGTTGAATAATAAACATCTCAGTTATAAAATGTGTTATTCTCCTAATAGATGTGATGACCCAATATTCTCTTGGCTTGAATTGGATCATGAAACAAATGAATTGGATCATCAAAAGCATTTATTTATGTATGAAATGATGTTTGATGTATGTGTGAACTTTGCATATGATCCGTCAAAGCATGTCAGAGATATGATCCTGGAAGTAAATTTGTTGAAACAAAATGGCCACCAGTCAGCCATTTTCAATCTGATCTGAAAAAAAAATGTTGTGCATCACGGACCCATTATGTTCAACAGACAAGACAGGACAGAGATCCAGTTCAAGAATCGTAACAAAGGCTCCACTTTGATGAATTTTTAGCACTAAAATGGCGACCATTTTGCCATCTTTAATCGGATCATAAAACAAATGCACGTGCACATATAAGATATGATGTATATGTTCCAAATAAATTGGTCTAGGCATGTCAGATATATGACAATGACAATTTGTTTATTTCCTTGAATACTTTCTTAAATACACACTTACAGAAACAAAAAAAAAATACGATGTATAAATATGCATGGAAAGGGGAAATACTTTAAGCAAAGTTTGTCAAATATATTTCCCCCTTTAAAATTAATTTGTAACTTACTTTTTTGCTAGCAGATTTGACAGATTGTTACTTATTCACATTAAAAATATTTAATACAACAAAAGATATACATATCTCTAAGTTTAATTTTGTAAAATATTTAAATCTGCTAAAACAGTGGCATGTAATTTATACTACATTATCAATTTAGTTATTCAATAATTCATATTTATATACTTTTTTTAACAATTAAAACAATTTTTAACGTTACTAGGAATACCATTCCACAATTTTACACTACCATGAGTCAAACACATAGATTTTAGAGTTGTTCTTTTATAATTGATTTTAAAAAGATTATCTTGCCTGGTATTGTAATTATGAACTTGATCAGTGAGCATAAAATATTTTTGAATATGAGCTTGAAACAGAGAATGATATGCTTTGTACATTGTAACAGCACTGAGCAGTATTCAATATAATTAAATCAGAAACTTTAAAGAGTCCCAAGTGAATAAAAAATAGGATTGGTATGACTTCGAAAGTCTGCTTTCACCACAGACCTCAGCACTTTTTTTGTAGAAGAAATAACATTTCAAGATTACTTTTATACGTATTGTTCCACACTTCACAACAATATGTCAAATAAGGCAAGATTAGAGTGTTATACAACATGAACAATATATTACTATCTAAGTAGTATTTTAATTTGTATATTATACTAGTATTTTTGTCCATTTTAGTTTGTACTGGTATATACTTAAAGTGGCTTTTCCAGTTGAATTTACAATCACTTTGAACACCAAGAAATGTTGTGGTATAAACCCGGACAATGTCTACATCATTTATTGTGAATCTGGTTGTGTTATATACATTTTTTGTGGCTGAATATTATATAATTTATCTTACTGAGATTTAATTGAAGTTTGTTCACCTGAAACCACAAATGTAATTTATTTAGTTCTTGACTGACAATTTCACATATTTCCTGCAAATTTTTACCTGAATAAAACAAATTTGTGTCATCTGCAAATAAAATGAATCTGAACAAGTTTGAAACTTTATACATGTCATTCACATATAAAAGAAATAAAGATGGACCCAAAATAGACCCCTGGGGCACACCACACCTATATTTCTATACTCAGAAATTACATTTTGAAAAGATACCATCTGTTTTCTATTACTTAAATAACGCTTTAGCCATTGTAAACACCTCTAATGCCATAGAATTCCAACTTGCCAAAAAGAATATCATAATCTACATAATATATGAATCCGGAACTGCATTTTTAAAAACAAAATGGCAACCAGTCAGCCATTTTGAGCTTGAATTGAAAAATCAAATGACATGTATCAAGATTCTATTGTATTTAATGTATGTACCAAGTTTAAACCAAACCCATCCTCAGACCACCGTGTTGAGGGTTGGTGCTCAGACTAAGATCTGGTTCCGAGAATGATGAAAACGTGTGATTCTGATGCATTTTGGGGCTTAAAATGGCTGCCATCTTAATTACGATAATGGAACAAATGCATGTGCATAACCCTGCATACGTCCGATATAATATCTCAGACGTTTTATGTATCTGACGTTTCAATCGGTCAAGCATGTGCGAGATACGACTGCATGCCGACGGACGGACGGACGGACAGTGGCATCCTACTAGTCTTAGCGTGAATGAACTCAGCTTCACCATGAACTCAGCTGACCTCACTAATAAAGGTTACGTATCGTATTCCGGGTATCGTCAACAAGTAAAATGCTGCGTCATGCTGATGCCTGTTTTCTAGGTCATGTCGAGTTGGTGACCGACGGAGAGAGGTGCTTGCCAGGTACCGGGTTACCACTAGTACCACATTGCCCTGCTAGCAGTCATTTTGGCGTACGTCACGGTGTCAGAATACTTGAGCCCGAGATGTACAGTGTACACAAGCCGGGTGAAAGCCTTATTTAAATACCGAAAAGTACCAATCGCGTGAAGATTATACAATCATACCGCTACTTTGTGAATCAATGCAAAGTCATTATGGGCAACTGCGTGGTCTGGGTGGGCGGGGCATTCCACTGCCCAAGGGTTGTGCAGAGTACGGTGTCGGCTAAAACACGGTCCAGTTCAATTTCTTATATAGAAACGACGATATTATATACGACTCCAAGTATATTATGTGCAACTCGCAGGTCATTTAAACCCTTATAAATAAAAACTTGACTGCCATGACTTGAACTATTTTTCACCTACCTGTCCACGAGGGTTGAGTTTGAGGATATCTTCCGATTTGTGTTCACTCTTCTCAAAGGAAACCAGTTTGTTTCCATACCCAGACAAGCCCTTCTCTTCGAGTGTTATCATTACCCTCCAGCATGGGCTGCTTCCCGACCCCCAATATAGGAAAAATTCAGATGCCATTTTGACAATCAGTAGTTCGAGTCTGTGGTTATTTTTCACGTGCACAGCAGTATTGTGGTCGCTTCCAACACTCATGAATACGTAAATGTCATGTCATGCGTTGATTGGACAATGCTTGCGGTTGAATGTACGTGAACCTAAATTAACCCCCAGTTTTGCGATGACGTCACTGACAATGAACAGTCTCCGGCCAGATGGACTTTACGCCTGGAGATTTAACGTCGGGACTTTATTGATTAAAAAAGGACATAATACTCATTCGCCAACAGTTCATGTAATTTCATGTCCAACTTTATCGCTGAAAAAAGATACAAAATATTTAGGTCAAATGTGCCATCGAATTGGATGTGATCATTTCCGAACACACCCAAACGGTCCATGTAATACGATTACCGGGGCGCTTAGAACTGCATAACGGTTCGCCAATACAATATAATGCCGGGGGCTCTCGCCAAAAAAGCCGGTATCTAAAATTCCGAACAGGGCTTTGAAAAAAAAGCGTCTAAACGCTTGTTCAGTGCCCTGAAAAGAATATCACTCTTTTTCAAGTGTGTGATCGATAGTCTAGAAGTACACCCGACATGGTAGGTAACGGGTACCGTAAGGCGTCCAAGTATCACAAGATGACATATGTCTTAGACTGGCACAGTCTAGGCGATTTATTTTTTTTCCAAAGTTTGAATTAAATAAAAATATCGCGAATTCGCCTGAGAGGCGTTAACGTGAAATCTCCTGTAACTGCGAAATGACGTTTCGCGTTCACCCCAAATTTCGCAAAACTATTTTTTCCAAGTTATAATTTAACTGAAAAACAAATCATCACAGCTGGGTTGAGTTGAAAACGTCCCTATATAAAACGTGTCCTTATAGACTATCACGTCGCCAAAAACACACCATATTCCTTGATTGCTAAATATATACAACTTCAAATGTGTTTCATGCGTATACAATTTGAAAAAAAAAAAAAAAAAAAAAACATTTTACGCAATTTTATATGAAAGAATGTGTATCAACATCCCTGGGAATACATGAATTCATATTATTCAAAATTCATGTATGATTTTTAAAAATAATATATATTTTGTACATTTTTTTCTTTGATTCATTTTTTTTGTTCTATTTTTCTGCTTCATATATACTGCGTTAAATATCCGCGTGAACAGTAAACTATGAATTACAGTAAAACCTCTTGTATTATTACTTTATTTGTACCTTATTGCGCGGTTTAGGGATAAAATTTGTTGTCTTAATATTTGATCAAACTTTGATTTACGGCCAAGTTTTCAGCTTGAGGTTTACTTATATTATAAGTTCAGTGAACGGCAAGTGTATACAAACAAATTTCCAAATCCGACGGGCCACAGTGATTTTGTCCCTCCACAGGGAATGTGGACGGGCGTACGTCTGAGTAAAACAAAATTTCCAGATTTTAGTCCCGATGAATGTGGCTGTATAGCTAATGTTTATGCACAAATAAAACCCGTTGTGTCGTTGAGGGCAGCATATCAATAAAGGCAAGAACAAATTGCGGGTCATGGACAGAGGCTGGAAATTGAATCTAGGTTAAAATATATGTCTTGTTTATCAATTGGTCAAACAGTATAAGGGACGGAAATTGCAGGAGACATGGGTCGGTGTTTTTTGGTTAAATAGTGGACTAAAAATGTTTATCCTTCATGAAGGCCTTTAAAACCCTAAATGCAATGAGTTGATGGCCATGTTGTGTGTATTTTGTTACAGTGCCACCAACGATGGACTGATTGCTTCGGACATACCCGAAGCCGCAACCTGAAAATGCAGCCTGTTTGCCATTACCACTCATAACCATATATGCATGATGCTATATTCGTGAATGAATTGGAACGACATATCTTTCCTTACTGCAAATTGTTTTTGTCTGATTAACCTGGAGTCAAAACCAGATTAGTTGCTACCGCGACAATTTTCATCTTTTCTTCATTGTCAATATGCATTCTTTCTTGTATATTCATATTTTTAATGTAAATTACCTTTTTTTCGATAGAACTAAAGATTTAAAAACCCATGCTATGGGTTGGGGATATTAAGAAAATACTTACACAGCTACTTTAAAGGGCAGTGGTGCACTGGGCGACGACCACCGCCCTTTAAGTTAACACTATAGAGGTACTACCTGGTAGTACTTGATTGGATATTTGACCAATTAATATACTACTACTAATTACTTTTCACCATGACCGTCAATGAACGAAACCGTGATGTTTACTCCAAACCCACCAGTGCATCGCACGCTGCCATAATTGTGTCCGATCGTCAGCCACTCTCAGAATAGTTAGGTATAAGAGTCTACGGTGAACGTGTGTCTGAGAATTAGTAAGTTTTCTACCCGGTGATCTAGTAGTCATCGTGATAATTTAAGAAAGTTCTATTATTTTCATTTAGTATGTTTGTTCCCATTAACCTAGCTGCGAAGTCATGACTTCAAAAGAATTAGAGACAGGCGTAAACAAGTAGGTTCAGAAATGTGCTCCAATTAACCAGGCTTGCTTATAATTAATTTTGTATTTGCGAGAACACATAAATGAGGAAATTGAAAAAAAATCACCCAAAATAGTCAAAACGATAATTAGTGTAATGATCGCGGAACTATACTTATATACTTCATAATCCTTGCTTGCGCCCTCATCGGCACCGGTGCGATTTCTTCCCGGTTTCGACTGGGTTAGGAGAATAAAAAAATATCGTCCGCATAACTATTATTTTTCGTTCGCACTTTAATTGTTCATGTCCATGGACTGATAATTGTATGATTCAGTTGTTAGTCAAGAATATAATTAGCAATTCAAAATTCGCAAGGAACACAAGTCGTTTTTTTCTCGTAATCAATTCCCCAGTTCGCGGACGCTGCATGCTTTCTCAATTTATTTTCGAAAAAGAAACATAAAATCAACAAAAAGAGTTGTAACCAACTACTGTTCTATCTCGTGAACTCTTCAATATTTCGTATTTAGCCTCGCATTTTTATTTGACAAAAAATAAACAAACAATAAGACGTGTTAGAAAGTGTTTATCCATAACCAAGTTCTGAATACAAGTAGTACATGTATATACATAAATATTCTTAAATTACAAAAAATCAGCAATATCGCCCTAAGTTTCAATGTATGATAAGCATAGGCTGCCAAACATTTAATTATATTGGTTTCTTGTGAAGTTAATAATACAAATTTATATAAAGATGAACGGTTGAAATAGTATTTTGGAAGATACAATTGACGAAATTCAGAATAAAATGGGCATACTAAATGGAAGCGGTATTCGTTTTCAATTTGATTTGAATCACACACTTTACAAAGTCGTCAAATGACATCCTAGATATTAAACACTAGGATGTCATTTGATTTCCGATGTTTTAAGGCACGTCTTGTTCTTGAGTATGTTTTTCCCATAATTCAATAATTTCTTTCATTGGTAATAAACTCATAACCAGTGTTATAAATTCCCACAAATAATGTGGTAGTCACCAGGGCAACCAACTCTCAAAAGTTAGTGGACTGATGAAAAGTTGGTGGATCAACTTGCCAGTGTTGTTAAAATCAAGTATAAGCAATGTACAACATTGAATAATGCTGCGTTTCCTTGACAACATATGAGAGAAAACATGATGATTATACGTTCATAGTAACAGTTTTAGATGTATTAAGAAAGTAGTAGTAGTTTTCAAGTCAAATTCAAATTATTTATTTTCACAGTAGAATTGTTTTAAACCATTATGGTATAAAACTATATATTTCACGAGAGCTCCTAATTCGCACTAATTACAAATCGACGTTACGTTTAGATACAACTTTCATATAGTCATTTTATTGAAAAATGTTGATTAAAACAAGAGAAACATAAAAGTCACAACGACTTTGGACAACTTTGGATATTTTCACCAGAAACGTTTGTTCGTTTTTACATTCAGATATTAGATTTGTTTTGGTACGAATCAAGTTTGATAAACATGCTAGTTTCAAGCTTTCCCTTACATCATTATCCAAATAATTTCCTGTGACCTCTGTTTAAACTCAGAACACTAAGAACAGAATTATAGTGATCCGAGATTCAAGATAGTTCACCTCAATTGGGTAACGCACTAGTCTATTACATCTCGTATTGATAGCGAAATTTACACTATAAATCTGAAACAGAATTTGTAATCAGTGTAACAACATGCCATAGTTTTCTGACAGTTTGCGTGAAGATTTATTTACAGATAGTTTTCAAAACACAGACAAATAATTTATAATTTTATAATGCAAACAGATAACTCAACATATGTGCTTCAAGATGTACGTCATGTGATATTTTCTAGTTCACTTCAACCACAGTCACTCTACTAGGAGAGACTAGGAGAGTGACTGTGCTTCAACCAACAAATATATTTAGACTCAGATTTGTATATGTCTAGTTTTTGAGAAATGGAATCTCATGTAAACCAGCAGTCACATGTAGTGTATGCACTATTATAAGTAATTTATTAATGAAACGTAACCTGTCTTGACAGCGGGGAGTCGTCACCTGCTCATGCATCAGATGGCCATATAGGTGTCATTGTTTACAAACAGTTGCCATTGTTTACAAACAAGCGTCTACCCATGAGCGTTTTTAGTGTGTATTGTTATCATCCATGCTGGGACCACGGTACCTTCCATGCTGGGACTCAATTCCCACACGTGCGCAGGTGACGACCCTGCCGCTTTAAAGGGCATGTGATAGTAAGGAAATCTTTTCACATATTCATACAAAATGTTGTTTACACTTTATTTTTCGGTATTATAGCGGAATATATACATATATCTATTTCACGACTTTTAATTATGAATAATAAATAGCAGCAGTCTATTTATGTGAGTCATTGTTTGTTGCATGGGGGAAATAGTGTGCTCGCCATGCCTGCAACAAGGTTTTCCTATCTGCGGAAAAAAGTCACCTACCGCATATTCTGCACTCTTGAATGCATTTTGATAACAAAAGCAATTTTACCTACAAATTGATGATATTAAAATCATAAAGCAATTTCCTAATTGTGGTTTTATCTGTATTTTTATTGTGGCCTTCCTGTCTTGTTGTGTGCATGTCTGTCTGTCTGTCTGTCTCATAATATGTGTGTGTGGCTACACATATATTATGAGAATCGGTTGCTAGTGGGTTTAGATTAAATTTGGCATTAAAATATGTTTTAGTGCAATTAGTAATAATGAATTAGTATTAATTAACATAATTTGTATTTTACCATTTCGCCTATTTCTATCTGACAACCAGTACATCGTCGAGCATATTTTAGTTCCAGGGCCAATAATTCGCGTGACGAATAGAATGACCCCGTACTCGTGGCTTTTTATCTGAGCCGATGTAAGGATGTGGGTGTAAATACAATGATGGAGATTACCGCCCTATTTTTGTCTTTGTTGTCGTCATAGATACAGATATGACGGTCATTTTAAAACCAGTTTTCATCGGGGTAAATACCTCTCCTCATATACCAAATTTATGTGCGCTGACTTCAACAAATTATATAATGTGACTGATGATTTACTTGTTGTTACACTGATTGGTTTTTAATCTGTCTATGGTTGAATGGGTTGAAAATGCCTGAAAAATACTATTATTATGTTCTTTGAGAACTGTCCTCGGAAATGAACAATTTGTGAATAGTATTTTGCCATTTTTGTACCACACAGAGACGATGTTGTACAAGTTGACTGATGTCGATTGAACAGTTATACACAAATCTGTATAAAAAAAGGTTTTTAGCGCTTTCAGCCTGAGTTCAGTACAGGCTGTAGGTGGTCAGAAATATGCTAAGAAATCATATATGTTTTTCCAACGGGATAAACAAATTAATGCAATTACAACATGAAGTAAATGTGTTCACTTAAAGCGGGGGAGTCGTCACCTGCGCATGCGTCAGATGGCCATAGGCTGTCACTGTTTACAAACAAGCGTCTACCCACGAGCCTTTGCGTTTTTAACGTGTGTTGTTATCGTTGCTTGGGACTCAATTCCCGCGCGTGCGCATGTAACGACCCTCCCGCTTTAACAAATTAAGAACATATTAAAGACAAGTTTGTTTGTTTTGTTTTTTTCTGCTCTCTTGCATTTATTCATTTACAAAAACCACTTGATTACAACAGCATCTCCCACGTGGCGATTCTCTAGTCATTTGGAGACATGAAATTTCTGCTCATGACAGAAGAAACATGCACAACAAATGGGAAGAGAACCACTGAAAATTGTTACTAACAGAACTTTCAAAATAAAACTTTAAAAGAAATACACTTCATTTATAACCTCTCTGATGTCTATAATATATATTTTTAACGTTTACAGAAACCTCAACAGCTGCTTCCTTCACACTATGCTCTTCACCTCTCAACTTCTCTCGTATGTGATACAAAAATACATGGCCACCAAAGGCCTGGTTGACATGGACTTTAAACACAAATATCGGACACGCTTGCTATTTAAAAATAAGGAAAATTTTAAGCTTTTTGAACAAAAAATTATTAAGACTTGTTTTCCCTGAATCCAACCACAAAGTTTAATACTCAAATCTGCTTCGGACACATAATAAACGAAAGTTGTGTGGCAGTTAACTACCCAGGCGCTGCAAAAGCCAGGCCAAAGTCTGCGACCAGGTTGAAAATGTACAACTACACAAATTGTACAGAAACTGGAAGCACAAACATGTGCATTGTAAAACTAAAGTTGGAAATTGATGCAAAGAAGGGCAAGAACAAATTTTGGATCTGTTTTAAGCGTCCCAGGAAGGAAAGCAACATTACAATTTTTGATCTTGCTCAAAGCAGCAAACATGACAAAATCTGATAAAAGTAGCAAGAAATTTGGTCGTCTAAAAATTGCCAGAAATACAAGCCAAGACAAAGGCACTAGAATTACAATTAACTAGCGTGATCAGTACGTAGGCAGTACGAAAATTAAAAAACTTCCACAACATTCTTCTGTCCCCTGAACTGCTCTTCAAACATTGTTGCAAAGAGCACACACTTTAACTGACAGCACAAAGTTGCTTGCAGCCCATGATCTACAAATGATCTTGTTGCAGCAGTAACATGAACTTATCAAGGATTGTCACTCTCCACAAATGAAGACAGTGGCACACCAACATGCCAGAATTTTGTTAAGTACGCAATTCGTGGTTATCACCTGCCACAACTCTGAAGGGCGGTTCTTTTCCAAAAGGGGGGTTCACATAATTTCACTCCATCACTTTTACATTGGCCATGGTCATGGTCACCTCCAAAATTCTAGCACAGGGGGGCAACATTTCAATATGCCCAGACTGTTTACAGGTGATTGTAATCATACATACATACGGTAAAATGCAAGTCTTAGCTTTACAAACCCAGCTTTATAAACACCCAATTTTTCTTCAACATCACATGCCAAAAACTCCTAATAACATGATTTGAAATTACAACACTAAGCAATGTTTTATATTGTATTAAATGTACCTCAAACAGTATCAACTCTGTATACCAGTGAAATCAAATTCTAGATCATCAAATCATCAGTCCTCAAAATGCCTTCACATTTATTAAATGATCCAACAGTTTCCGCTGTTTAACTGCTTATGTTGACACTAAATTGGTTATCTAAAGATCTGAAAGCTGCTAAATTAATCTTGAGAGCAAGGAATAAAACAATTCGGGGGGATCCCCAATGTTTGGGGTTTCAAAAGATACTCTACTCTAATATATAATAATGAATACAATCAAATGGTAACTTATATTCTTCAGCATCGCAGACTTTTGCAAACTATACCATATCTCACTTCAGCCAAGACCAGCCAGTTTCCTCTTAGGAAAAACCAGACCAACAAAGTTGTCAAAAAGAACTAGGATTGTCACCTGTTCTGGAAATACTATCCTTCCCACCCCGTTTTTTTTTCATTAAATTTTATTATATTTTTAGCTTTTTGAAGAAACTGATCAATGGACCAAACATGAAATAATCTTTTCTACCCTCTGGACTTTCTTTCTGCAACTGGTACTGGCCACTTCAACTACGGTAAGATAGGCTCTGCGGTCCTTTTTATTAAAGGACTTCAAGCTGATTCACAATCCAGTGCAAAGTGACCAGGTTCTCCACACTGGTAGCATTTGCCACCACCACCTCCGCCGCCGCCGCCACCTCCGCTGTAATTATCTTCATTCGGGCAGTTACGAGCAATATGGCCAGACATGTTGCACCTGTAGCAATTGCCTTGGCTACCACCATCTCTTCACCCCAAGTGTTGCCACCACTTTCAGAGCAATCTCTGACTATATGGCCAGTTTTCCACACTTGTAGCAGGTACAATCGTCACCTCCACTTCAACCACCTCCGCCACCACCACCGCCTTGGGGACATTCTCGGGAGAAGTGTCCAGTCTCTCCACAGGTGTAGCAGGTTCTTCCTCCACCGCCACCACCGTCTTGACGTGGCTCCTGACAGTCACGAGCTAAATGGCCACTTTTACCACAGTTGTAACAACCATCTCTTCCATCACCGCGTCCACCACCTCGTCCTCTACCACCACCACCTCCGCCGCCGCCAGATCTGCAGTCACGCGAAATATGGCCCTGACGTCCACAATTATAACACTCTATATCGCTCCTACCATCACTCATCTCTCCTCCCGGGTCTCTCCTCCTCCTTGTCTCCGCCTTTGCTGGAGATTTCCCAATCAAAAAAGAGTCGAAATGAAGATTTCGAGAGAAATGCAACAATTTTCCCAATTTTTTACCATTAAAGACAAGTTACCGTATAACATGACCGCAACAAACTTCAGAGTTTAGAAGTAATATCGACACAACAGACCCATTCCCTTAATTTTCAATAATATTTATAAATTTCAAACAGACTGTTTGTTTTTTGGCCCACGGAACATTGCGTACTTTGCTCAATGACTGGCTAGTTTTAATCAACGGCCAATGGAATTTATAAATATTCATTAAAATAAAATACTAGTATATGGATATGTTTTATGTTGATTGTAAAACACTGTCTCTGCGAATATACACATACAGACACAACAAATACCAATACGTATAAGCAAATGTGGCTCGATCCCGGCTACTCGCTGCAGTGCTCTTGTGATTAGGAGTCAAACATTTTAAAGCGGGCAGTCGTCATTGTTTACAAACAACCGTCTACCCACGAGCCTTTGCGTTCTTAGCGTGTGTTGTTATCATCGCTTGGGACTCAATTCCCGCGCTTGCGCAGGCGACGACCCTTCCGCTTTAAATCATGCTTGTGGCCGAGAGATTTGTTGAAAACAAAATTGTAAGCTAGACTCGTGGAAAAAAACAAATGTTACAGGAACAAATGTTGGCACATTAAAAAAAACAAAAAAAACAAAAAAACAAAGGGTACCACGAAAAACAAAATTGGTCACACTCAAATTTCAAATGTGTAACCTCTTATACAGTACAGACGAAGGGCATTGCGGGATACAGACTGGAACGAACAGTCCAGTAATAATATAGTTGGCAAACCTATCAAGTACTCAGTACTCTTAGTGCAACATAGGTATTCCCTTCAACTTTATAAATTTCACTCACGCGAAGTTTCTATTGGTTAACATTGGAAAGTTTTTAAAATGACCTCGTTGCTCACTGTGTTTGTTGGTTGACTTGTTTGAATGAACTGCCATTGAAATTTGGAAATATTTATAAAAATGAAGGAGACACCCTTGTTGTACCGAGAGTAGTTACCGTATCATTCTTAAAGGGCGGCAGTCGTCGTGCTATGTCATGTTCGATATGGGACTCATAGCGACGTATACAACGCGTGTAAAATACATAGTTTATTTACACGAAATTCGAACACGCGCTGTGCAGCGACCAACGCGCTTTAATGTGTTCAACCATAGACCTCGTATATATGGTTCAACCACGGTTACTTCTTATAGTAACCCTGGTTCAACAAAAAAACTGAGTAGTTCAGTGATCAAAATCCCACGGTCAAAAAATAACTCAACTTAATTAATCAATTAAAGCGATTATTGACATACTTTGTAACACAATAAACTGTAACAATTATACTTGGAATCGTGACAACCACATTTTTTGAAGAACATTCTATAACAATATGGGTGTGCAACTCTCACGTGAGGTCACAGGTGGTCTCAGGAAATCGTGCGTATGTACATGCCTACCAAGCGAATCATGCGACTTTTTTCGCCATCTACACATGTGATTGGAAGACGATTGGTGATTGGCTATCTTCACTGACCCTTTTCCCGTTCACTCTTTTCGTGCGTGTTTTCTGCGTGTTATTTGCATCAGCAACTGAGAGGGCAACCTATCTTAGGTATGGAAATTACCTGACCTATAATGCGAAGAAATATGGAACGAAAATATTATATTGCGTTATTTTAGTGAATATATGTCCTATGTGTATTTTTAAAGAATAATTGTGCATTATTTGCAAACTCAACAAAACAGCAAGTCACCGTGATTGCAATTTACAGCCATATGAATAATTATTACACTCTTAAAGGGTCTTCGCCCTATTTGTATCTGTGTCGTGTTATTATTTTGATCTGTTCAGATTGTGAAGTCCGCTTTTCGAGGTCGTGTGAATATATATTGGCCGCATGCACCAGTAGTTGAACATTTGAAATCAAAATGCTGCGTGTCGCACAGTCTGGTAGTCTTCAAAGATGGCAGCAGGTTACGCCAGTCCTGCTTTCTGCGTCGCCGTTGTCAACACCAACTGGAAAGGCCCAGCTTTCGTCACACCACAGTCACGACACTTTACACGTTCTCCAGAAAAATGACAAGAAAGTTTCCCCGGTTCCACCGAGTATCCAAGGCGTTCAACCGATGTCAGCAAAGCCGACGAAGGATGTTCTTTCTCAGGCACAGTCTTTTTTAAAAAATCAAGAAGACCGCTCGAAAGTGCTGCGCGACAAGATACAGAATGCAAACCAAGGGGCGGCCTGCAGAGAATTTCACACGAGCGTGTCACATGGGGCGTCGTGTGGAACAGTAGTGGAGGAATGGGACGACGAAATGGCTTGCGTATTGCAGGGAACTTGTCTACCAGGTAGCACGATGTATTGCCGTACCAAGTCTATGTTTGGGAAGTTGAAGTTGAGCGACGTCGATCAAGGTACGTTCGGTACCGTTCAAGGCGTACGCCGATACAGCACTTCGTCGCCGGCGTTTTCTCCGGTGAGGCGATTGTCAGATTCATTTGGTCGTACGTACGAGGCATGGGACGAAGATCTAGTAACGCAGGTGCCTGTTCCAAACAAGCCGAGCTTTAATAATATTCCCAAAATAGACAAAGCTACCAGATCGTATTATCAAGCGGAACCACGGGCCCAGTTCGTACCGGTGACTAGATTCGGTGACGCCAAACGAAGTTACCATACCGGCGACATAGTACCACTCTCACAAAGAATGGGAAGATCGTTTGAAACGTGGGATGAAGACGTGGCACACATGATACACAATCTTCACAGTAAACCAGTATTTGGGAGGCCACGAAGAGATATTCGTCCACCTTCCGACCCACCGAAAGTCTATGTTCCGGTAAGTTGTGAGTGCATGGTGTTACAGACAAGACACTGCCACACGTCATCATCATCCTCTCCTGCACCTGTACCCAAATCAAGCCAAAGGGAGAGGTTAAAGCAAGTGTTCAGAGACTATGGTGCTACGGTGGTCATATTTCATGTTAGCATTTCGTTGCTCTCCCTGGGTGGAGTTTACCTGGCAGTATCAAGGTGAATGTCATGTTTTGTTAAAAAATCTGCCATGGGCAGCCAGGTGACCACCGAACTCGGCCAGATTTCTACTCGGCCAGTGACCGTACTCGGCCAGCATATGTGCATAAGGGTGTGAATGATGCAACAGCGAGCGCTGTATTACAGACTGTCAGAGTCATATCACAACAAAATATAAAAAATGTACGGGCGTCAAAGGGTGTCGATTTCAGTGCTTTGTTAATAAAAAAAGGGATGTCTATTTCAGTGACGAAACAGCCAGCGCTGTGTCTTTTGTCATATCACAGTAAAATGTAAAAAAAAAAATAGACGGTCGCCGATGTGATGTCTGTGATTCAATGTAATGTCTGTGTTTTTCCTTTGAAAAGAAAATTTGCGTCACTGAAATCGACAATGTTCAGCCAATGTTGAAATCAACAACATGTCGGAGAACCAGTAGCGTTTGTGTGTGTGTGTTTGTAAACTTGCGTTGTTGAAATCGACAACAAAATAGTCACGGGAGGTGGCGACTGGTCGA